GGTGACCGTCCACCAAGGAAAGCCACGCTGCCAGAGATTCCCCCACCCCCCGGGAAAGTGAGACCCGTCAGTCTACTGGAGGCAACTCACACTGACCGGGCGTAGGATTGATGACGCTACCCCGTACTTTAAAATCTGGAATCGGGATGTGGTCTAGGAGACCACACTCGCGATAGCACCAACTGAAATAAAAAATATATATATATATTTTTTTTTTAGTTGGCTCTACAGACCTTGTAGATCTTTGGCCACCTGAACCAGCCTTCTCCATCTCAACCTATCTTGGGCTACTGCTTTCCAGTTTGCAGCATGAAGCTCAGCCGTATATTTGTTTATCCTATCTATCCATCTGGTTTTTGGCCACCCACGTGGTCTCTTGCCAACTACTCTGGCATTGATTGTCGTGTAAGGGCGACTTGATGGATTGCTATGAGCTACATGCCCTGCCCATCTTAACCTCCTTGCCTTCATGTCATGAGATATTGACTGACCCGTTTCTTTCAGCAGTTCTTTATTGTTCCTTCTCCTCCATGTGTCAAGATTCTGGTCTTATATAGGTCCTGTTATCCTATGTAGAAAATTTCTTTCGAATCTCTCAATTCTGGGTTCTAGTGTCCCAGTTAGAGCCCAGGTTTCACAACCATACAGCAAAACTGGCTTAATCATGGCGTTGTACACCCTTATTTTGAGATTTCTGGAGATTTTTCGGGATTTCAATACCTTTGAAAGAGAGAAGATCTGTTCACACTTGTTATTCGCTGGTCTATCTCTGTTAGTTGATCATTTATTGAGGTTATTGTGGAGCCGAGGTATTTGAATCTGTCTACTTCCGGGAATGACTTAAAGTCCATGCAGATGATGTTATTAGGGTGGCTGTTTCAGCTATCTACCATGTATTTTGTTTTATCTACATTGACCTGTAGTCCGATTTGCTCTGCTTCATTTAATAGAGTCCTAGTGAGTCTCTCAATATCCTCTTGATAGCTTCTGAGGGCAGCTATATCATCGGCATATTCTAGGATTTTATGTTTGATTCCAACGTGCACCCCTCCATCTTTGCGTGATGTTATTCTTATTACTTTCTCTAGTGCTAAGTTGAACAGCATCGGAGAGAGTCCATCTCCCTGCCTCAAACCAGTTCGAACTTCAAAGGCTTCAGATACATTTCCTTGTATTAGTACCCTGCATTTAGGTTCATTTGTACACGCGTTCGTCAACCTCACTAATTTCCCGGGAACACCCAGCTCAGTCATGATCTTCCAGAGACAACGGAAGTCATAGGCTGATTTGAAGTCAACAAATAATGAGTGTACGTCCTGAACTACTTCCCATCGTTTTTCAAGTACTTGATATTGGATGAATATCTGATCTAGCGTACTCCTTCCTCTGTTAAATTCTGTTTGATGGTTGCCTATTATGTTTTCATAGTACGGATATATCCGATTTAGTAGAATATTAGTCATTATTTTATAGGCAACCGGAAGAAGTGCTATGCCTCTGTAATTGCCACATTCATACATGGAGCCCTTCTTAAGGATAGGACAGATCAACCCTGTGTTCCATGCTTCTGGTATCCGTTCCTTCTCCCATATCTTCTGGATTAGATATAACAGCTTGGCTCTGAGGTCTTCTCCGCCATCCTTGAACAATTCTGATGGTAGGTTGTCTATCCCTGGAGCCTTTCTTCTTTTAAGCCTGCCGATAGCTATTTCCACATCCAGAATATCTGGTTTAATGCAGTGGCGTAATCGTAAAATGGTGATAATTTTCAAAAACTAGGCACACGATAACATAATACTAGACACTTATATCGAATAAATCCGAATAGATACAATAAATCGATATCCGGAAGTTTAACATAAAGTCAACAGTATTTTGAAAAACTCTACTTAGTGGACCCTCATATTGGAAAATGGCCCTTATTTCGAAAAAAATCAAAACTTTAATTTGAAATGGAAAAGGTTGAATTTGAATTGGAAAAGGTTTAATTTGAAATGGCAAAGGTGGAATTTGACTTGGAAAAAGTTTAATTTGATTTGGAAAAGGTTGAATTTGACTTGAAAAAAACTGAATATGACATGAAAATATTATACTGAAAAAGTCTAAAAAGTAAAAATAAATGGATATGCAACCGCGTAATTACATTTTTGTTTGTATTTTTCTAAAGCTATGCCTTCGGTAATATAGCAGCAAGTGGCCTTTATTTAGAAAAAAATTGAAAATTTGCAAAAATTCGAAAGTTGAATTTGAAATGGAAAAGGTTGAATTTGATTTAGAAAAAGTTGAATTTGAAATGGAAAAGGTTTAATTTGTCTTGTAAAAGGTTGAATTTGATTTGGATAAGGTTGAAATTGACTTGAAAGCTATATATATATATATATATATATATATATATATATATATGTATATATATATATGAGTCTTTTGTAATTAATTGGAAATTTAGAGTGTTTGTCAAGTAAGTTTTGGAGTAAGCGGAAATGTCGAGCAGTTTTTTGTCGTTTAAATCGGTTTTATGAGAATTCCAAGTGAGACGTTTGTCCAGGTGGATTCCTAGGTACCGGATTTGTTCAACAGGGATAAGTGGGGTGTTATTAAAGGATACTGTAGGACTGTAGGACAGGAAGTCATAGGTTTACGATGAGGGGTAAAGGTGATTTAATGGGATTTATTTTAATTCTCCACTTTTGTCACCATTTATCAAGGCTTGTGATGTGTGATTAAAGAGTTTGAGATGCATTTGATGGGTCATTATTAACTGATAAAACACATGTGTCATCAACATACGTGGTACTGACAGTGTTAGGATGGGTTGGAATATCAGCTGTATATACTGTGTAAAGGACAGGACCAAGGATACTACCTTGAGGAACACCACCAGATCGAGAAAAGAGGTATGAATAGGCATTGTTGTGATTTATTTTGAAATGCCTATCAGGAAAGATAGGAATGGATGATGAGAAAGTGTGTAGGGTGGAGGAATTTATGGAAATTATAAAGCAATCCTGGATTCCAGACTCAACTAAACGCGTTTTCAACATTGAGAAAGACTACAGTGCAATACATTCTGTGTTGCAATGCAGAGGAGCCACCACATGATGGCATTGCTGGATAGTGGAATGGGATGTGCGGAATCCAAATTGGTAATAAAGTATTTTAGATATTGAAAGGAAATCAATTATTTGTTCTAGGTTATAAAGAGTGAATAAAATAAAAATGAGTGGTAAAAAATTAACATTTTTTTATTTGATAGTTTCAAATATAATGAGTGTACAATTATGTCATAAGACACCAGCACACTGGAATGAAACATCTGATAATTTTAAATAAAGGATATGAAATTATTATAATATGTAAATAATTTCAATGAATTTATATAATTTTTAAATAGCCGAATATCTTTTACATAAGCATTTAGTTCATAAATAATTAAAATCATACACCAAAAATACTTTTTAAGACATAACATTTAATGTTTATTATTTGACTACAAACTACAGATACTAAAAATACAAATATATATTTATATTTTTTTTTTGTTTTTTACCAAGGTAAATTCTTTAGAACTATCTAACATCATTTATCACAAGTCAAAGAACTGCATTTTTTTCCAGATCATGTTCAATAACATGACTGTATACAACCATATTTGAATCTAAATATACAGCTTGATAATCCTAAACCAATGCACTGTAAATTTTATAAAATAAGTAACAGATATAACACAATAACTTAATTTTCTGCAGTTTTTGCATATAATTACAACATTAAAAATTACCAAATCTTTTTTTTTAAATATTTTAAAATATATATATGTGTGTGTGAACTAACAACATTTAAGAGGTAAGTTCGTGGTATATAATTTAAGTCTTATAAATAGAAAATAAATTAAAATAATTTGATAAAACCAATTTTTGAAAATGATATCATTTACTATATTACTATCCCTCATAGTTATTAAGTATTAATTATAAAAATAAGTACTTTTTTTTCTTTATGCTAGGGTCACAGAATTTGACAATCCTGTCATTCACTTTTTGGCAGTCTAGAACAGCTTCGCTATTTTCGAGTAATTAATGTTGGAATCAATAAATGTACCCCTGTTATCCTCAAGAGAAAGACAATAGTTGAAGAGCAAAGTATTCATACCCTCTTATGCTCATACCTATGTGCACTTTATATTTATACACAAGACATCCAAAGACTCTAATTTGGCATAAATGCTGCTGAATATAACCATGTCCTGGTAATCATGAGTTTTTAATTGAATTTATATATTTTTTTATTGAGTAATATTATATTTTGTCACAATTAAGGATATTAGTAATAGTGATACAGTGGGTTCATTCATTGTTAAAAAAATTACTTTTATAATACAGATATGTACATAAATCTTGATGGTGATACATATGAGGAAATAATTGAGAAATAAGTAATTTACAGTCTTCACCTAAAGTGAACTGCATAATATCCAACATAACTCAGTTAGGAGCCTATTAAGATGGAAAATGGCAGAAAAATTTGAACTCAAAAAGTTCTGGCATAAAGAAAACTTTATATACTTTTAGTCTAATATGAATAAAAATGACATTTAAAACTTTTATTACTAAAAATCCTAGCACTCACTGTTAAAATAACACATTGATGTTTTCTGTCAATTGTTTATTTTATAAAATAAGTATTTTAAAATTAGATTTATATATATCCAAGTATAAGAGGTAGTTTGGTTACCCATCAATTAATATATAAGTCTAACATGAAGGAAAAATGACAAATTCAGATGCTAAAAATTTTAGCATCTGCCGCCCTCACTTAGAGTAAACCAATGATCACTGGCTCAACTACATTTGAGAGAGTCTCAGAGTTCAACTACCCTCAGAGGTGAAGTAAACTCTACAAATGATATATCTTCAGAAATAATGAGAAGAGTTTTTGCCACTACTTTAGCATGAAGAAACATTGCAGAGCAGGCTCATTATGAAACCACACTGAGATACAAATTTATAACTCTAAGGTATGCCCTAGCATACCTCTGCATGCAGATACCTCGACTCAATCGAAAATTGATGGAAAATAACTCCTTAGCCTCAGGAAAAAAGTTCTGTGCAAAATATTCAGCCTTGTAAAGAATGGAACGTTTTAGAGAAACAGAAAGAATAGGCAGCCCTATCAACTTTTTACTGATACTAATGTAACTCATTAAACAAGGAAGACTAAGCTGGGCAGATCATTAGATGAGAATGGAAGAAGTAGATGTTCCAAAGAAAATATGGAGCTAGTGCAACTAGGAGAGTTGGAGATCTGAAAATGCATTGCAGGTGGATGGGAGGGTGGTATCTGATACCAAAACTCCTTTACTTGTTAGACATTGAAAAGAGGTTGTCCAAAACAAAGATTAATCAAGAATGCCAGGAACTGACATATGTTGTAACACAAAATAATAATAATAACATAAACTAACTCAGCCATAAGTAGAAATGGGAGGGAAAATGAAATATGAAAATTCAGTTGCTAACAATTTTAGCAAAACTATCCTTACCAGAGCTAAATTTTTAGTATTATACATTACTCAGCAATAAGTTTAATGTTAAAACAAAATTTAAAATTTTAATAACTGGAAATGTCATTACTTACTATATCCATTTAATGTGAACATTTCATAGTAACAATACTTAACTCTAAGTTTAATAAGAATAACTAAATTGAAAATTTTATGACTGAACATGATAGCATGTACTGTTCATACCTAAATTTTGCTTACTATGAAATAGAAGACTAGTAATTAGTTGTAAGTTTAGATATTCACAATATCCTAAACATCCAATTAAAATGTTCCTTTTTCAAAAATATTAAAAACAAGCAACTGGCTGAATTTATACAAATAACGAAATAGAATTACTTTTCTCAATGAGAATTATCTAGTAGGTATTAGGTTATTATAACGAAGCACAATAGTCATATTATATTGATAACTTTGTGCATAATGGTACTCATTAAAGAAATAGAAATACTGAAAAAATAACTATAAAATTCAACTAATTCATAGCACAACTGATGTATATAAAGTGACTAAAATCCATTATTTTTTTTAACTAAATAAACAATGAAAATGTAAGTATACCAAACTTTATCTATATGGAGAATATATATAGAATGTATATATATTCAATATGAAGCTAAACTAATTCATTTAGATTCTGTTTAGCCCAGCTACTCAATTTGCAGAATTTGGTGTGCACAATAAAAACTTTAAATATTTGCTTTTTATTTCACCGAATCTTGAGTTCGTTTCCGCCTTTTATCAAGAAGAGGATTACTGGAATTTTTTAGTGATTTTATATGTACTTGGTCATAATCCACTCTCATTGTAGCAAGGGATCTCATCATTTCTTCTTGAACTTCTGGCCAAACATCTTCACCTTCTTTAAGCATTTGACCAGTATATAGAGGTGTTTCAGGTACTTCAGTGTATTGCTGCAAAATTATAATTAATAAATTTAAGTAAACTGTAATAATAATGAATATCAGTTTAATCAATTTTATAAGAAAAAAAAGGAAACATGTTTGAATAAAATAATAATAAAGACATATTGTTCCTTAAAATGATAGTGAAATCTGTAAAACCAGATTCTATAAAGATGATGCGTTTAAAATAGTGTATTTTTACTTCCTGAGATATTTTCAGTCAGGTAAAGAGACAAAAGCAGGCCATTATGTGCCTTTACACAAAAAATTAGAGTTTCCAGTGTTGAGCATTTTTCGAATAATTGACTCACTCATAGCATGGAGTTACAGTCCATTAAGAACCAAATCCTCCTTCATTATTCTGCTCCACTCTTATTTATCCACATTTAGCTCTTTTAGATTCTATTCCACATCATCCAACCATCGTTTGTGAGGCTTACCTCTCCTTCCAGAACTTCTGAGATGATCATACAGCATTTGTCTAGGTGATCTCGACGTAGGCATCCTTTCCACATGTCCAAGCCAGCTCGGTCCTCTTTTCTTAATAACCTGCACTATGTTCGATTCGGAATGCAGGTCTTTCAATCTTATCCTACATTTATTGTCCTCTCGTACAAGCCCAAATATCTTCCACCGTACCTTTCATTCCCATATTCTAAGCCTGTTCTCATCTCATTTATCTTGCTCAGAGCCAACAGCAGTTGTTTCCTGTCAATACTGTCATATGCCTGCTTAAAATATATAATTAAGTGGTGAAGTGTTAAGTATGATGGTAAGTGTACTTGTATGATTTTTCCAACATTTGCCTAAGAGAGAAAACGTGATCAGTTGTGGATCTTCCTGGCCTAAAACCACTTTGGTGCTCCCCAATTGATGCAAATAACATTATTCGAAATTTTATCTAGATATAATAAACAAACAAATAAATAAACAATAAATAATTTTGATATAAGGGTCCACTATTAAGTTATCGGGGAAGCTCTTTATGAAAATACTGAGATTGAAGATTGCACAATTGCACATGGAGCTTTTAATACTTTTCAAACTTCTTCGATATCAGGATCTTTTTATGTTTTTGGAGCCACAGTTTTTGAAAATGATGTCGGATTCAAGATAGGACAATAGCGCATCAAGTTTCTGATACTTTTTGGATTTCTTCGATATAGAGGTCCATTAATATGTTATCAGGGAAGCTCTTGATGAAAATACTGAGATTTAAGATTGCACAATTGCACATGGAGCTTTTAATACTTTTCAAACTTCTTCAATATCAGGGTCTTTTTATGTTTTTGGAGCCACAGTTTTTGGAAATGATCTCCATTTTAAGATTACGCCACTAGGTTTCGACTTATTTGAGTTTTTCAGATTTCTTCAATATAAGGGTCTATAAATAAGATTTTGGTGGCATACTTTTTTGAAAAAATATCTATTTTAAGGTTGCCCTAGCACATTTTGACTTTTTGGATTTCTTCAGTACATTTATATTTGGATCATATCTATAAATATACTTTTGATCATTAATTTAATTGAAAATTAGATTAATTAAACAAATAAAATTAATTAATGTTGAGTAATTTTGTAATAAGCTATTATTTGAATAGAATCTACTTAACAATATGGAGTAAACCTATTTTACCTACTTTTTTTTGAGAATTTATTATAATTTGAATGAAAATTTTATTTAAGATTGTTGTTAACTAGTTTTTCTCCGATACATTTCTAAAAAATATAAAATAATTCAAAAATATATACCTGCAATTTTTATGTTTACTAAAAATGTTAAGTGTCTTGACAATGAGGCCTAAGATTCCCTTATTTATTTTCTGATTCCATTGTTTACTCAGCAGAAAAAGTATGATAATTAAATGATAATTCTTATAATTTTCTGTGAATAATAAAATATAAAATAAAGTTAAAAATGTTTGAGGTCTTCAGTATCAAAACCCGCACCATATATTACCAATTTGCTACAATAAATTTCTAGAATTTAAGAAATTTTGTTATTCATGTATTATCATTCATATGTTCATGAATATTTTTGCAATTTTATAATGCTATATTTAGCAGATTTTGATTATTAAGGCCTCCATTATGTCAATTTTTCCATAAATCAAAGGAAAAGGTATTAATTCAATTAAAAAAATTATATCATTTTATTTAAAACAAAATTTCTGATATTAATCAAAGAAAAAGATTTTTTTAAATAATTCTAATATTTATTATTTAGAATAGGTTGTTTTAAATAAATTTACGAATGTTAAATAAAACAATTTAACAACGTTAAATAAATTTTAAACATGAAAATCATTGTTATAATTTTTATTCAAAAATAAAAAATCAGTTAATTCACATTTCCGAATTTGAAGATGTCATAGTTTCTTTCAAAACCACTCTCATTTTATTACTTCTTACTATTACTATGAGTCTATCGCTTACTTTATTACTTTCCGATAGACCTGTCATGGTTGCATAATTCAAGAATTAAGAAAATGCATAATTTAATTTAAGAAAAAGTTGTTTAACCGATGCTGAGGATGAGAGTGGCTCTATACTATAAAAACTTTTTTATAACCGGATACTAAGTTAATACAGAAAAGAAGTAAAGGATCAAGAAGTTCTACTGTATTTGATAATGCCACATTTATGTTTATTTGTGAACTCAACAATAGAGATCATTTTCAAAAATTATGGCCCCGAAAACATATAAATATTTTATATAGAATAGAAAGCTATTCTCATCGGGACCAGACATCTCATTAGTTTACTTCCCTAATTTCCTCTACTTTATCTCAATAACTGCCCCATCCATTTTTCCTTAGTCAAAAACCTAGGAGTAACCTTTGACCAGAACCTTTCCCGGAATAACCGTATCTCCCAGATAAAATGAAAATCCATAACTGTCCTTAAACAACTCCTAAGATTCCGTGATTGTATTCCTCTACAAACCAAACAGCTCCTTGTAACCTCACCACTTCGACTACGGCTGCTTGGTGTATGTAGGGCTATCTGCCAGGCTAGAAATGATATTAAATAAGCTCATGAACTGTTTCATAAGGTACATATTTGGGATCCCCAAGGGTTCTCATGTTTCATTCAGGTACACCGAGTTGAAGTGGCTTTATCCTATTTCCTAACGACAATACTTCCTTTGTGCTTTCCTTTTCCAAGTCCTCGAAACCAAAAACACTCCCTACATCCTGGGACTCCTTACTCTACGTTCCTCAGTCCACTCTCTCAACCTATAGATTTATATATCTCCTCCCATAAAACTACTTTCTTCAATAAGTCCTTTGTCATTTGTGCTACCTTCTTTTGGAACTCTACTTAGGTATGCTATAGGGTTAGCTCCATACGTCAATCCTCATCCACAAATTCTTTCTACCAACTCCTGTTCCACCAATAATGTCAAGCTTCGAGATTCTTCCTGGGGCAACCAGTGACTTTTGTGCCAAATCTGAACAAAACACTGCAGTGTCTCAGATATTTGATGCTATGAAAGGACCGAATTTAAAAGGAGGGGAGTTAATTATATTTTTCATGGTCGACTATAAAGTCCATGCTTAATCCTTTGACTGTGGAAGGGATACATGCCTTCCCGTTAAGGTCACTGGTATGGCCAGGATATATGCCTTCCGCCTGGGCGGTCGCCACTTAAACAGTTAGTAGCAAGTCCCACTTTCACCATTTGACTTTTGGCTTGGTCGGTGCATTTATTAGTCCCTGTAGCTAACTCAGTGCAGTCGTTCCGGATTCTGACCATTTGAAAGCTATCAGTTGCAGATTTATTCTGAACCCAAGGTATGTTGTTATGTCCTTTCTCTGTTATTTGTGTCATATCCATGATCTTATTTATATTCTATTTAAATGTTTTATACATCAAATAAAAGTTGATAAGTTAATTTGAAGTTTTTTTTTTGTTTTTTTTTAATTTAGGATTTCATTGAATGCTAATTTTGATACACGTGAATTTCTGTCTACTAAACAAATAAATGTAAGTTTTCTACATATTATATACATATATATAATTAAATTACTACATTATATATATATATATATATATATATATATATATATATATTGGGTGTGGACAATGGGTAGTTTCTCTTCATGTCATGTTACTTGTTTCATATTTACTTGTTGTATTTATCATTTAATACAGTTGTAAATTTCATAAATAATATATTCATATATATATATATACATATATATATATATATATATATATATATATATATATATATATATATATATATATATATATATAGATGGGCAGCGTGGGTGATTTCTTTTTGGCTTTGTTGGATTGACTTTGTGTGTTTAATATTTAATTTTCCGATTTAATTTTTGTGTGTTTATTCTTTGTGTTTTTTTTTGTTAATGTATATAAATTTGAACTAAAAATGTAAATCATGTGAAACTAGAAAAAAAAAACAATTGTAAACAAATGTAATTCATGTAGTATGTCTTTAAGACATGGAGCATGAAGGAAAATCAAATAAACGATCCTTGTGTGGGGTTACCACGTAGGGAAAAAAAAAAAAAAAAAAAAAAATATATATATATATATATATATATATATATGTATATAATGTTATAAGTAAATGTAAGAATATACAAAAATTAAAATGTAATAGTTAAAATATACAGAATTAAAATGATACTTTAGTTGTTTAATCATTTTTCCATCCACCTAAAAACAATATATTTCATATAATAGAAAATTGTTTGAAACTCTAAATAAATGTAAGTGCAATAATAAAATTTATAACTGCGCTATGTTTCAATATGGAACTTTTTTAGGAAAGAAAAAAATTTGTAAATACAAAGAAATATATAATTCAAATCCCGCTGTCGGTGTCTTTTTTTTAGAAATAATATAATTTAATTTTCTTGATCACTTACAGTTCTTTTTATGATAATTTTAAGTTATTTTGCTTTTTAGAAATGAGCAAATACGCAAGAAAGCGAAGTGTTGCCGGATTACCGCTCTAATTTGGCATTTTGCATGTGCGGTCAGGAAGGCATATGTCCCGTTTATTAAAAAGTGAATAAAAAAGTTAAAATGCATTTTTGAAAGCTAAGATTTTGTGCAGTGACTCAAGATAGTATTTTAAACAAATTTATGGGGGAAAAAAAATCTGTTTTTCTGAACATCTTTTTTGGATTTCAGGATCCACTATCTGATCGACACACTTGAATGAGCTCTAGCAGTCAAAGGGTTAAAAATATACCATAATGAATGCATCATAAAAAAAAAGTAATTTAGTTAGTACAATTAAATTAATAAATAATTATTTCTAATTATAATATATTGATTCCCAATAATAAACAATTTATTTTAAAAATAAACATTCAACATTAACTTCACTTTAAAAATTATAAAAAAATACTAGTGTTAAAAATATTTATTTTCTGTAAAGTACATACAGCAATCCAAGTGTTTGACATGACTTCATTTATATCAAGACGGGAAGCTGGGTCAACACATAACATTTTACGTATTAAGTCCTTAGCTTCTTTGGATACATTATTCCATTCAGGTTTTGGAAAGTCAAATTGTCCAGTTCTGATCCTTTTCTTCATTCCTGGTGAAATAGCCTGTCCATGATTACTAAAAAAAGGTGGGTAACCACATAACCTAAAACAACAAAATAAAATAACAATTACAATTGAGTACTTTAAAAAAAACTGGCCTTAAATCTAATTGTAACTTAGGAAGGTGGTGGTTTACATTGGATAAGAATTAATTAGAAAATTTATTCTTACAAGTTTTTGTGAAACATTTTGTCTAAATTTGTAAGAATAGAGTGATCACACTGATGTTAAAATTTCAGTTTCATCACAGTTTAAAATTTTTCTTGTTGAAATATATATCAATTTTCTGAGCTTGAATATATTTCAGGTACTTCTGCCATCCTTTGTAGGGATATTTATACATACAGATAAGAGTTCATTAATTTTTTGCATCAAGAAGTAAAAACGGGATATTTGAAATATAAGAAAAGCTAGGAGAAACTCTTAATTCTCTGATATAATGTTTGCTTTTTTTATCTGTTTTTATGCTTTTCTTTCATCCACTAAAGTAATAAGTTCTACACAATCTGTAGTTATAAATACACATTTGAAACAAATGATACACATTTTGGATTTAAAATAAAATAATTGGGTCATATTGAAATAGTCATACAGGTTAGTAAGATTTGGTAAGAACTTTTAAGAAAATGGCACTAGCAATGTCATCACCTCTATGAATAACAATGCATTTGTTTGATTCTAATGAGTTTGTACTGATTTCTTATGGTCATACAAATAATTTTTGTAAGAATTCTTATCCAGATAAAGTTATTTCCTTAGTCATAAAATCAAGAGCTATAACTCGACCATGGTTAGATGGTAGTGGTCAAACTCATATGACACTAACAATAAGGAGTTTACAGACGTAGGGTCACCGATTTCAATGAAACTTTTTTTTGTGATACTAGGTTGAAAAATATTAGATCCATGTCCGAGAGTTCTCGCCAATGCACCCTAGGAACTGACAAAACAGTTTAAACAAAATTTATGTCATTAATTTCTGCCTTTGTTTTGCATGAATTTTTAGGTTATTATATATCAATCAATTTCTCTTTTTGTACAAAATAAGAGAAAAATATTGACTATGATACTAAATGATTCATAAAGTATTCTATGAAAAAAAAATTGTTTTTAGTGTTCTTTAGAACTATTTAATACTAATTTTTAGATAAATGAAAAAATTCAAATTTAGTACATTGCTGAGGATTGTTTTTCCGGCCATTAAATAAAGCATTCATAACTTCTCAATATTGTATCCAAATTCAACATCAGTACAACCGTTGGAAAACTGAATTTATGCTTTTCCAAAACACATCAATAAATTTTGAATTTCATTCCATTTTTAGCTAGAAATTTAGAAAAACTTCTCTAACATTTTTATTTTATATCTTTGGTTCTAATTTGTTTACGGAGGTGAGGTTATACCATTTCCTATAGCATATAGAGTCCTACATACCTAATAATATTCGTGTAAATCGGTGGAGACATGGTGATGTTATCACAGTTTTTGTGGTTGTCGACAAAGTTTCTAAGGTTCCAGCCTAGACGAAAATTTCGTGTAGAAAATTTTAATTTTTCAATTGCAATAAAAATTCATGTTTAAGGGTTTTATGAGATGCGAAAAACGAATAACAACCATGTTTTTCACTAAAAAAATATATAACTGTAACATCAAGCCTCAATTAAAGATTTTTTCCTCAGCTCCTAGGGCACATTGGCAAGAACCCTCGGACATGGATCTAATATTTTTCACCAAAACAGTTTCATTGAAATCGGTGAGCCCACGTCCGTAACCTCCCCTTGTAAGTTGAAACAGTTTATTTTTTCCCCTAATCTCTTCATATTATTTACAAATATATAAATGAATTGAAAGATAAAATTTTAATATTCCAATGTGTACACACACATATATATATGCAAATATTTTGTAAATAATAATAATAATAAGAACAGATCAGTTAAAAAAATAAAATGTTAAGATTCAATTCTGTGCCGTAGGTTAGTCCTCGGGCTGCCAACTAACCATAAATCAGCTATCCTACCATTGATTTTGTGATCATTTTTTTATGGTCTGGTTGACATTGTTGTGTGTTTTTAATATCAGTATGGTTTAATTGTCCTGAAAACCAAAAAAAAAAAAAAAACTATTCCAATCTGGAAGCTATAGTTAAGAAACAGTTGTAGCCTTGTATAACTAGCTGTGATAGACCACGAAATGTGTGACAGTGATACAGCAATAACTAGTAATACAACTAGATCGTCAGCCTGGGAGAAAGCGCTGATTCCATGCCACAAACTGATTTTTTCCTCTCAACATATTAAAATGAAATAATAATACAATACTTAAATCATCTCTTCAATTAATAATTACCTCAATAATATAGAAACTTATTTTGCAGTTAGACATCGAAACAAATACAAAATAGCTCAGTGATTTCTTGCTCATGAAAAACTAAGACCTATGACAAAGAAATCGTGTAAGCAAGAAAAATTGTCAATTTTTTAAACCAAGAGAGGTGGTTCAATTTGAAATTAAATTTATTTATTTTTTTAAACAGACAAATTTAAAATAAGGAAGATGACCCATGAAGAAAATGAAATATAATATTACTGGACTATATTACTATAAAATACAATCTAAATTAATTAAAAACAAAAATATCCTATGAGATGACATAATAATTCCTGTTAGTACAAAAGTACAAAGTCAGGTATTAATAAGAATAAATAATTCTCAAAAATAATAATATAAATATTTTTAATATGTTCTCAATAAAACCTTCCATATGATGCAAGCAAAATCTTTCTCATGTTCAGAACTTTTTCTTGCATTCACAAGTAGTCAATAGCTAGAAAAAATGATTATTAAAAATGAATAAATGTAACAGAGTTTGTTATGTTAAGATTTTACAGTTTTTTATATTTACCTATGCTATGTGTGCTCCTTAGTCTTAATTTAAGAATTTTTATAAAAGTATTATCCAGAACAACCACATCACTAGACTAACAATTGGATATCTGTGTTAGCTACTTAAGGTTTGTTATTGAACTTTGTACTTGATTATTTGTTATTTTTCTTTTAATCTGGGTATGTATGTTTGTTGGTAATATTACATTATTTAATTTTACTATGTTTTGATTATGAAAACAATAGTAGATAGGAAAGATTTCCTGAAACGTCAACAAAAAGAAAATAACAAAATACAAATACAATTCTGCTTGCATCATTTGGAAGTTTCTATTACCAACATCTTAATTAATACACTTAACACTTCCTAACTAAAGAAGAACGGATATATAAATATTTTTTATCTTTAATTTACTCAGGTATTCACGAACATTAAAACACAAATGACAATAGAAATAATACACTAATAGAGATATAATTTATAAAGATATATTATTATTATAGATTTAGACACGTATACTTTGAAGTTTTATTCTACTTAAAGAAAAGAATCCCTTTCACGTCTGCAAATATTAATATGGAAAATTTAATCCCCAAAATAAGTACGTTATCAATGGTTAATGAAAATATTAAAAATACCCAAATAAAAGTTTCTAGTAATTATCATGCAATAGAAAAAAATTAAATACTGAAGAAGAGAGGAAAATTGTTTTCAATTAATTATTACTGACTAGTTGGCCTCTGCCTAGAAGGTGGTGTCAAATATCCTTTTCAATAGACTCAACCCCCATGCTGAAAGAGAGATAGGTAACTACCAGGCTGGATTCAGAAGGGGTAGGTCAACCACGGACCATATCTTCTCCCTGAGAATGATTCTGGAAAAATCCAAGGAATACAGGATGGTTACGCACCACCTCTTTCTGGATTTCAAGTCTGTGTACGACAGTGTAACCCGACCTGAGCTCTAACAGCCATAGACAGAATGAGCATACCCAGGAAGCTGATTCCTCTGGTGAGAATGATCATGTTGGGGGCGAACAGCGTGGTTCGTATCAGATCTGACCTTTCTGAACCTATTGCCGCAAACATCGGTGTGAGACAGGGAGATCCCCTAGTATGCCTTCTCTTTAATTTGGTGGTGGAGCGAGCAGTACACAGATCAAGGATCCAAACACGGGCCACCTTATTCAACAGTACGATCCAGTTGTTGGGGTATGCAGATGACTTGGACATAGCTGCCAGTTGCTGAGCGTGCCCTAAAAGAAGCATTCCTGGCTCTAGAACAAGAAACTAAAATTCTTGACTTGGTCATCAACGAATCCAAGACAAAGTATTTAAGAATAGGATCATCAGATTTAGGGACAGGTTTTTTTGAAGTTGGACCATATAGATTTGAGAGGGTGCAAAGTTTTGTATACACGGGCTAAGAAATAAACACTCAAAATGACATATCCCAGGAGATCAACAGAAGAACTGCCGCAGCCAATGGAAGCTATTTTGGGCTAGCAAAATACTTCAAAAGCAGACACCTCTCCAACAAGACCAAGATTGTCCTGTATAAGATCCAGATCCGTCCGGTACTTACGTATGGGTCAGAGACCTGGGCCTTCACTAGTGCCAGTGAGAACCTCCTTCTGTTGTTTGAACGGAAGATATTGAGAAGAATTTTTGGCCCGGTTTGAGAGGGAGACACCTGGATAAGGAGGAAGAATCAGGAACTCTCAAGAATGTACAGAGATCCTGATATCATCAAGTGGATCCAAATTGGGAGACTTCGATGGGCGGGCCACGTTGCAAGGATGAAGGAGAATGAGATCCTTAAGAGGACATTGGCTGAAGAGCTTCGTGGCAAGCAAACGTGATGCACGATCGCACAATCTTAAATCCAATAGCATTTTCATAAAAAGCGCCCCCGAGAACATTATAATGTTGAATAAATTCAATAAGTTACAAAAACATGATACACGATAGAGCCATCTTAAATCCAATTGTATTCTTATAAAAGCGCCACCGAGAACATAAGAATAGACCTTTGCTCATATCAAAGAAATCTAACAGGTAACGCAAACTCATGTGTTATTGTGCAATCTTTAAACTGACAACATAATAAAGTACCCTTATATCAAATAAATTCCAAAAATGTACAACATTCAACCCTGTAATCTTAAAATCAATAGTATTTTCAAAAACTATGTATAAGATAACATCCCGAAAAGGTACAATTAATCAATATTCGATCATGTAACCCTAAAATCAGAAGTAAATTCAAAATATATGGCTTCAATAACATAATACTAGTCCCTTATATTGAATAAATCCAAAAAGGTAAAATAAATTAATATGGAAATGCCCATCCTTACCCATCTTATCATCATCAGTACCAAAACCCATGCTTGAGCTCAATGGGACTTTGAGAGATTATTCTACTAATCCTAAAATCGATAGTATTTTTAAAAACTACGCATAAGATAACATATCAATAGGCTCTCATATCAAATAAATCCAAAAAGGTAGATTAAATCGATACATGACTGTGTAATCCTAAAATCGATAGTATTTTTAAAACTACACTTACAGGAGTACAATAATAAACTCTAATGTCAAAAAATAAAAAACAATTAAGAAAAAAAGTAAGGTGAATTTGACTTGGAAAAGTTTGAATTTTAATTTTAAAAAAGGATGCGATATCAAAATGTTAAACCTAAAAATCTGAAAAGTAACAATAAATTGATATGTGATAGTGTAATAATAAAGTTTTATTATTAATCAAAATCTATGCCTTTGATAACATAGTAATTGACCCTTAATTCAGAAAGGTTACAAAAAAAATCAAAAGTTGAATTTGAAATGAAAAAGATTGAATTTGATTTAGAAAAATTGAATTGGATTTGAAAAAATTGAATTTGATTTGGAAAATGTTGAAAATGCTAAATATATATTTTACTGAATCAGAATCAGCCATTTATATTGTTCGTTATTATAAATAATAAAATTATTTATAATAAATAATAATTTAATAAATTTAATAAATAAAATTATAAATAATAAAAGAAGTTACATAGGGAGAAAGCAGCAGACCATATTAAGAGACTACAAAAAAACATTGTAAATAGAATTCCAAAAATATTTGAGAGTAGCGTAGTATGCACAAAACTGTATATATAGGAATCTATGCGGCAACATTTAGAAATTCAATTTTATTATTATTTCTAAACAGGAAGAAACCACAGGCCCTATTATTACACACTTTTTCCAACAAACCCTGAAAGATGAGCTGAGAAGAATGAAGATGAATTTCTCTACACATCGTCTAAGATGGGAAGAAAATGAGTTATACCACGTGTACATCAGACATCAATAAACACCTCTATTTGTTAGCCTGACAAAAGATGACAGCAAAGATTGAGTATGTCTGATTTATTAGAGGTAGGGTTTGTAGTAGGCAGTCAAATGGTTACCGTGTGGTGATTATAGGTGAACCTTGAGACTTGGACTTTTTCCATTGAACATTGTATGGGAGTTACTTAAAGATTGCAAACAATTTGTTTATTTTTATCACAGATATTTAATATAAATTAATTAAATTAAATGTAGCACTAAGTTAAAAAATGATAGAGTCTGGCATCCGGGACTGATGTACAAACTCCGTGAATTCCTACCACCTACATACTTCCTCATTATACGTTCCTACCTTACTGACAGATACTTCAAAGTCAATCATAACAATGCTTATTCATCTCTTTTTACTCAGTCTGCCGGTGTTCCTCAAGGTAGTATCCTAGGTCCTATCCTTTACACAGTTTATACAGCTGACATCCCAACCCAATCCAACACTGTCATCACCACCTATGCCGATGACACGTGTATCCTATCAGTTAATAACGATCCTTTAATTGCATCCCAAACTCTTCAATCACATATCACAAGCCTTGAAGAATGGTGTAAAAATTGGAGAATAAAAATAAATTCCAACAAATCCCATCAAATCACTTTTACCCTCCGTCGTAAACCTATGACCTCTTGTCCTACAGTATCCTTCAATAATACTCCACTTATTCCTGTTGAGCAAATCCGCTACTTAGGACTCCACCTTGACAAACGACTCACTTGGAACCCCCATACCAGACTGAAACGACTAGAAACCGCCCGACGTTTTCGACTACTGCAGCACTTACTAGACAAACGATCTAAGCTTTCAATCAATTATAAACGACTCGTATATATGACAATAATAAGACCTATTTGGACTTACGGAATTGAGCTTTGGGGCTCCACTAAACCATCGAATTCCTCTCGTATCCAATCCTTACAATCCAAAATCCTTCGTAAAATCCTCAACGCTCCTTACTTTGTCACAAATAAAATCATCCATAAAGACCTTAATGTTCCATATGTTTCCGATCTGGCCCAATCCAGATACCTTTCCTTCCATAACAAACTGCAGAATCATCCGAATCCTCTCGTTTCAAACCTTGCTTCCTCCTCGATCCCTGATAACCCTCCGAGGCGTCTGAAAAGAAGATGGCCTCGGGATCTTCTAATATAGAACTTTAATTTGAGTTCTACCAATGGGTAGTTTCTCTTCATGTTGTACATGCCATGTTACAAATTTCTCATTTACTTATTGTATTCTCTATGTAATACAGTTGTAAATTCCATTGAAATAATAAAAAAAAAAAAAAAAAAAAAGTTAAAAAAAATTTTCTGACATCATTTAAAAAATATTTACTAACAGATATATAAATTATAATGTATTAAAATAGGATCTTTCAATATATGCATATATTCATTGGAGAAAGGGTATAATATGTTAATTTACAAGAAGGGCGATGTAAATAAATGTGACAATTATCGTAAAATTACACTCCTACAATGCACATATAAAGTTCCTTATAATGTTCTTTTCATGAAGCTCCTTTGATTCGCTGAGCGATAAATTGGCAGTTATCAGCCAGGATTTAGAAACGGTAACTCTGATGTGGATCAAATAATCGGACTAAGAAAACTCCTCAGTAAGGCCTTGTCTCATCAGACCAAGTGGTAACTTTATAAAACGCTAATACAACCAGTACTAACTTATGCTACAGAGACGTGGAGATGGTGAGTAGTTCAGAAGAGAAAAAACTTCTTATCTTTGAAAGGAAGATTTTGTGCCGTATTTTTGGACCGATTAATGAAGGAAAATATACTATAATAGGGAGGTATACAAACTCTTTGGGGAAGGGAACGTTGTTCGTTTTATAAAGTAGGAATGAATATATTCATGAATATTTTGTAAATAATATCAAAGGCTTAGAGAAAATACAAATTTTGAGTAAAAATATGAGCTATTCCAAGATGGAGATATTGATCAAAGGTAATTGAATAGATATTTTGATTATTTGAAATGAATAGGAATTTATGAGCTAAAACAATGGATAGAGAGAAAGGATATTAAGAAAAGTTTTTGATTACATGAAGATCACCGTAGTTTTCACTGGATTCAGGCTCAATTTATTTTCTGAAGTCTAGCGGAGAATGATGTCTTTATTATCCAAATGATAATAAAAGAAGCTATCAGAAAAGATAAACACAAGGACAAAATATACTTCTTAAATCTGTGCTAAAATTTTTGCCTAAGTTATAGGCATTATAAGGGTTGGTTCATGCATTAGCAGGAGAATGCTAAGATGAATGTATCATCTTCTACTTATATTAAATTTAGGTTTTTGGATTGTTATTTAATTAATTTATTTTGTATAACTTAATATTAAACTTCTACTAAATGAAATGGATAAAAAACATACAATTTCAATAATGTTTACTTAAAATAAGAAAATAAGTTCTGATTACGATAAAAAACTGAAGTAATTCAATTAAATTTAAATTGAAGTCAATGAACATATTTCTGTTAACAATAAAACCCCTAATTTTGGGTGTGGATACAACAATTTTGTATTGTTAATACAAAATGTAAAGGTAATATCTATCTAACTATCTATCTTAATCGCTCTACAACCCTCAGAGGGTCCTGGCCTCCTCAATGAGCTTCTGCCAAATTTAAAAGGTAATATACCTACAATAACTATTTTAACTCTGAGCTTTAAATACAAATATTACAAATTATTATATTATAACAGTAAGAACTAATTTTACAAATATGGGAATGCATTATATAAAGTCAACCGTACATAGTCACTTTTAATTTTCATAAAATAAAAACATTATTTCCAAGTAATTTGTAACAATATACAAAAAAATACTTAAATCATTGAAAATTTTAATGTGTATAAAATTAGAAAGAAATGCCACTCCATCCTTCCCTATTTTTACAATACTGAAAGAATAATAAAAAATACGTCAATGAGATGAACTGCAGAATAAGGAGAAATGGCATGCAAAGAAAACCCAAAATCAGCTATGCTCACCTGGGTCCTAAGTCATCTAAACTGGAGTGGCCTTAAATCTTGCACACACAATTATTTTGATGGTAAGTCATAAAGATTTTTTTAAAAATTATATGATGAAAAATCCTGTAATTTTGGAGAAAGCATGATCAGTTTTCAAATAAAACAATCAGATTATCATAAAAATGACAAATACAAAAGGGAAAATAAATATAAATATAGTTCCTTTTATTTAATACGGTTAAGAAGTTAATATAATTTTATAGACATTATGTGTGAGTAATTTTTGTTCTTTCTGGACATATAATAATTTTTCTTTCTTACTGGACAAAGGAAAAAAAAATGTTATTAACATTATAACTAGGAAAAACAATAAGCACACAAAGCAGGTAAATTTTTTAAAAATTATTCACTCCCATACAGCATAAAACTAAAAACTGAGTATTATCAAAAAAATATAATAGTATCTAATAATATAAAAAGTTGAAAATGGAAAATTAGTGTACTGCAGTATTAGATGAATAAATATCAAACAAACACAAATTAGTATTAATTCAACAGAAAAGAAAGACTTGAAAGGAAGGTTTAAGGAAAACAGGTGTAAGACCAACCATTTATGTTTGTTCTTAGGAAAATAAATGTAATTATGGTTATACTGACAAAAGAAAGACAAAGCGGGAATTTGATATAGATAAAAAATAATTAATAAATATTGAGTGAATATTAAAATACTTACAGAATGTACATAATAACACCTAAAGACCATATATCACAGCTTTTGTCATATTTCTCAGGTCCAAGGACTTCTGGAGCTAATATTAAAAAAATAAAATTAATATTACTATAAGAAAAAAAAAACATTGTTATAATATCAATAATAAAAATAAATAAATTTGTTTCAAATCTTTATATATTAAAATGCATAAGTAACAACCTTAACAAACTCATTAAAATTTAGGATTCTATTATTTTTTAATCTATGACTTTAGCGAAAAATCAGCATTATTAACAAAACAGTTATGATCTGTTAAGAACTCTGTTTTCCCTTTAACAGAAAAAAAAGGATAAATCCATCACAAACCAGAGCCCTAATCATCATACACACATACCATGGTATAAAAATTCAAAGAAATTACTCAATTACTTAAGAGCAATAAAATTAAAATAAAAACAAAAGTAAATACAAACCAACATAATATGGAGTGTAACAAGGTGTTTCAAGTTTATCATTAGTAAACACTTCTTTAGCAAATCCAAAATCAGTTAATTTTAAAATTCCATTTTCGTCTGAAAATAAAGAAAAACATAAAATTTAAGAAATAGAGAATACTAACGGAAGTTTAAAAAGTAAATTGTTCTAATGCTATTTGGAAAGAGGTTCACTGAGTGCATATATTTCCTAAAGAGTAAAAGATGTTAAGGGGTGGGCAGTAGCACATCATTGCTATAGGATGGTAAGAAAGTATTGGTGCTGGAACTATGGAGGAACTATTCAGAGAAGTGAGTCAATAGTTCATCCAGTCAACCAGACTGAGTAGTAAGATTTTTATAAAGGACTATCCAAATCAATCCTAGCTGGAAAATCAACACTCTTACGATATCAAATTACAAATGTATTGATCACAAGAAAATATCTTTTAAATTTGTATATAAAACAATTTGTTTTGACTCCATAAATCTTATATATTTTCATCCAATAAATTATGTTTATGTCTAATAATTCATATTCACATTAAAAAGAAAGAAAAACTTAGAAGCTCTTAATCTTTAAAGGAAAAGTTAGAGAGATAGGGAAAGGGAGAGGGAGAGAGTTTAGAGACTCTTTAGTTCGAATAGTACCTTCCAGTTCAGCGAAAATGTGTGCTAAAAAGTACCATGTGTTGCCCGGCAACCTGATAACCGAAGTTAGAGATGGAAAAATAATTATGAGTCCAAATCTTGGTTCCCGGTGGGACTGTTAATTCGGCATAATTCCCCCGGTCCACAGAAAAACCCATATAGCCTAAAAGGCGAGGAAGGAGAGAACAAAAAAAAAAGTTAATGTGTAAATTAAAAAATAAGTCATAATATTAGATATTAAAATAAACCATTAAGAGATGAGTGTTGGTGTGAAGAAAGTTAGTAATATGTTCAACCTATCAGAGTCAATAGAAAATACCATATCTAAAAAACAAAAACATACAAATTTTAATTCTACAGCAATCAAGTTAACTAACTACATATGTACCTAAATTGTTTTAAAATACTATTATTTTATGTGTATACATATAATTTAAGAACGAAATTCCATTTTTGAGATTAGATATTATAAATATTTATTCAACCAAACTTTTATAAGTTGACTCCATCTAAGATAAGTTTGAGGGTATCTTACTTAGATGCACTATACATTATAATTATAACATATTTTGAAATAAAAAAATCCAAAATGGAAACATCAAAGATTGGGTTATTGAAAGATAAATAATATAAAAACCCACATGATAGTATTATAACATTTATGAATCAATATACATTAGAAAGTAACCACAACCATGATTAACAACTCACTGAAGCAATTTTTGTCCACCTAGAATCTAATCCCATCAACCATAAAACAAACATTTATTAAAGTATATGGATCATCATCCATCCATTTTTTTTAACCCTTTGACTGAAGACAGGATATAAGCCTTCCCGACAGCGAGTTGGGACACTGGTGCGGCCAGGATATATGGCTACCCGCCTGGGCCGTCGCCACTTAAACAGGTAGGGGCCCTCACTATTTGACTTGTTGTTTGGTCGGTGCATTTATTAGTCCCCAGTAGCTAACTCAGTGCAGTCATTCCGGATTCTGACCATTTGGAAGCTATCAGTTGCAGATTTATTCTGAACCCAAGGTATGTCGGTATGTCCTTCCTCTGTTATTTGTGTCATATCTATGATCTTATCTATATTCTATTTAAATGTTTTATACATAAAATAAATGATAATAAGTTAATTTTATAATTTTTTCTTCTTTTTTTAATATTGGTTTTGACTGAATACTGATTTTGGTACACGTGAATCTCTGTCTACTAAACAAATAAATGTAAGTTTCCAACATTTTATATACATATATATAATTAAATTAAAATGTAATAATAAAAATTAATAAATGCAGAAATATATAGAATTAAAATTATGCTTTAGTTGTTTTATCATTTTTACATCTCCTAAAAACAACATAGATATACACAGGGTGCCCATCCTCCCCAAGCTCGATGGTGCATGAACCTTCCCCCACTCCTTCCAAGATTGGGATTATATTATATTATAATATTATATATATATATATATATATATATATATATATATATATATATATATATATATATATATATATATATTCATATATGGACAAAATTTTAAAGATTTGTAAAAGACAAATAGTTGCAGGAAAATGGAACATGAGGACGATATTGACGCAAGTAATGGTCTTTGCAGATGACATCGTTCTCATATCAGACTCAAAGGAAAATCTGCAGCAAGCTGTGATCGAATGGGAGGCTGAACTAGAAAGAAAGAGTATGGCAATGGTGTCGGAAAGAGAAAAAGTAATGCACATTGGTCGGGATCAGGAGGTTGTTGAAATTTATTGCAAAGGAGAGGTACTGGAAATGTTGAAGGACTACACATATCTAGGTGCAGTAATATACAAGAATGAAAGGGTTGACCATGAAATTTTCAACAGGATTAAAAAGGCCAATGATGTGTATTACAGTATATGCAATACAGTCATTGCGAAAAGGGAGGTAGAGAGGAATGTAAAAATATATATTTTAAAAACGGTATATCTACCAACCCTTATATATGGGAGTGAAAGCTGGATTCCATTAACCAAACACCTTAGCAGAGTTACTGCAAGTGAGATGAAACATCTTCGAAGGGTAGCCGGCCGAACCAGGAGAGACCGGATCAGGAATGAAAAAATAAGAGAGGATCTAGGCACTGTCCCACTAAAGGATTCTATAGAAAAGAGGCAGCTAAGATGGTTTGGGCATGTATTCTGAATGAATGAAGACCGTGACCCATGAAAATTCATGGAGGTGAGACCTATAGGAACGTGGCCAAGAGGAAGACCTAGATTGTCGTGGATGGAGTACATCTCCCAGATCAGCAAGAAAAGAGATATACGGATAAGGGATATGAGGGCTCTAGCTCAGGAACGAAATACTTGGGATTCATGGATCGAGACACCTCCACGCTGAAAGGCACAAAGGAAGGAGGTAGAGAAAGAAGAATGACAAAAAAAAAACCAGTTGTTTTGGTTGTCTTTGTGGTTTCGTGATGAGTTAATCTATAGTACTAACAACTACCTTTATAATTATTGATTCTATATTCACTTTTCATCTATATTTATTATCATTTTGCATATACTGTCCCATTTTTTCTGAACTAAGATAAATATATTCTATGTATTGAGTTAGTTCCGATTCGATTTTTCCATTTTTTTTTTTTTTTTTTTTTTTTAATGCCTATCCTTGTTTTGTTTTTTTACTTTATGGACTAAATAAAATACTAAATCCATGAATGAACGCTTTCACCTTCCAGGAAACGATAAATGACAATGCAATGTATAGACCATATAACAATATACTAAATGATAGCCTACTTTATGACTAAGAAAGATTGAGAAAATCACCTTGCAAAACAGGAATGGACATTTCTCAAAAACAGAGTTTTTAGAAATTTGCAGTTGAATTCCATAAGTGATATTATTTAGTAGGGTATAATTAAAAATATTAAGACATATAATAGAATTCTACATAAAAACTAAATATTCATTTTAACCTGGTGTGGAATATAAAAGATTTTCTGGTTTAAGATCTCGATGAGCAATGTTCTTGTCATGCAAGTATTTCACTGCTGAACAAATTTCCTGCATGATTTGGGCAGCTTCTACATAAAACAGAGATTGATAAAATTAGTATTAAACAGACAAATTAAAATCAACCAATGAAGAACTTATAACTACAAGATAATAGCATTAAATTGAAGATTTGCATACTATAAACTTCATAATTATACTACTTAAAAACAAAGTCATATTTAAAAAAAATTATAATAAATATAAATTCTTTTTACATATATTATAAGTATTACATATTCACGTCCTTACATGCATAAGCATGAGCAAATTCTAAAAATAAATCACAAGAAAAATTATGTTACCTCTTTCAGTAAAGGCACCAGACTGTCTCTCTTGTATTCTTTGAAACAATTCTCCACCTTGCATACTAAAAGAATAAATATTTTTTAATAATACATAATTTTTTGGAATCCATAAAAAAAAGAGAAAAAAATGTACTAATCAACCTCTATATTTAAAAAAAATATATTTACCATTCCATAACCACTAAGAGACATTTATTATTTGTGTACGTATTTTTATAAACATCAATTATTCCAACAATATGCTTGAATCCACTGACTCTCCAGTGAAGTTCTACTTCACGTCGAGCTTTCAAGGAGTCTTGGAGAACCTAAACAAAAGGAATGCAAAATTATTAAAGCATCAGAAGGAATATCAATGTCAATATAAATATCTCATAACATCGGTACCCATAAAAGCTGAAAACTTAAATAATAAATACATCTCATCCAACAGTGAATAAAGTAAATAAATTTGTCAGTCTAAACCAACAACTATTATACAATACTAGAAGAAGTTGGTCAGGGGTATGGTCAAAGAGAAAAAGGCTTTATTTTCCCTAAGTGCCAATGTTATGGCCTAAGTTTTAGATCTCCATGAACAGTCCCGATGGCGGCCTAAAACTTGGGCTGAAATGTTGGAACATAAGAAAATAAAGCCCTTGTGCATGTAGTTTATCTTTGATCAGAAGTTCTACTAATTGATCCACAGTCATCAATATCTCCACCATTATTACTAGTTGTATAAATTAAGTAATGAGACTGATTTTCTAATGTTCGATCTGGCAACACTGAGGCAGGTAAACATCATCCTGTACATGTTTGAACATGCTAGAGTTGTTGTGCTGTCTGTAGTGAGTTTTTTTGTTAGAAAAGATTTTTTTAGTGGATTCTAAAAATGAGTGACATCAATTTTGAACAACTTAGTACTATCAGGATCAGCTTCATACTTGGACACAGTGCAACAGAAACATCTGAAAAACTTTGTCAGCCCTATGGAAACAGTGTTTTGTCGAGAGCCAAAATTTTTAGGTGGTTTAAGGCATATTCATAATGAAAGAGAATCAACTGAAGACGAGCCTCGCAGCGGAAGGCCTTCATCTTCAAGAACCAATCAAAATATTGGAGGAATCCATGATCTAGTCCAAATGATTGGTGAAGAGTTGAATTTGACTCAAACAACTGTTCATCAAATATTGACCAGTTAATTGGTGACGAGAAAAATCTGTGCAAAAAGCGTTCTGATAAATCTTTCACAAGAGCAAAAAGACATCAGAAAGGAAAGGTGTTTTGACTTTTTGAGAGCAATTGAAAATAATCCCCATTTTCTGGAACGTGTTATTACTGGTGACAAATCATAAGTGTTTGAGTACAACCCGGAACACGAGTGCCAGAACATGGTGTGGCACACTTCAATCTCTCCAAGGCCAAAAAAAGGAAGAATGAGTAAGTAAAAAATCAAATTAATGCTAATTTGTTTTTTTGATAGCCAAGGAACATATTCACAATTGCTCCTTGTTACACAGAGATATCTATCAATGAGTTTTTGATCAGTAAAAACATTCCTAAGACTCCTCAGCTTCCTTATACATTCGACTTGAGTCCATGTGACTTTTTTATGTTCCTACGATTGAAAAATCACCTCAAGGGATGACATTTTGGGATATTGAAGAATATTCAAACATCTGTAACTGATCAACTGAAGGCTATTCCAGTATTCGAGTTCCAGCACTGCTATGATGGAATGAAAGAATCGTCTCCAGCGCTGTGTGGCTTCCCAAGATTGAAACGGTGGGCAATGAAATAAAATACACTATTATATAATATAGTACTTTTTGACCGCACCCCCGACCAATTTCTTCTGAAATTGAATCCACAGTCAGCTATCTCCATAACAATATAACTAAAATGTATTTTTAGCGTGTAAGCGTTTATCGAGCTAATGCCAATTTCATATGCTAAAATATAATAAGAGGCAGAATTCGGCAGAAGCAATCATTTCTTTATAAAATATATTAAGAATTTTTCCAAAATATCATACTGCTCGAAACCCCATACCTGCCCAGCATAACTAATCACTGACCATGAAACTGACTTATAAACTTCTACTTTACTTGAATACGGCCATTTTTGCTAGCCATGAAATTATGCTAAGTAGAATTCAGACCAAACTTTGCGTGGCTAACTCTTTCACCAAAGTGATGCCCCAAGATCAGTCTTGGTGTAATTATTATGCCCAGATATTTATCCTCATTCACGACCTCGACTGTATTTCCTCCGTAGCTCCACCTCTCAAATTTAGAAAGTCTGCCTCAATTGCGGAAAAATATTATTTTTGATTTTGCAAATTTATATGTAGATTCCACATACGGCAATAATTTTTAAAGGCGTTTTATTCGCTGTAATTTTACTGGGGAAGAGATTAATGGGGAGACCACATCGTCCGCATAATCTACATATCTGCATACTTGACAGCGTATACGTATAATTAAGAAAGAATGTAACTACAAATAATAGAAATAAAAATAAACCTAACTTAAATTTGATAACGTTTATAATTTTTGTCAAACTGAAAGCAATAAGATCTTATGCTTTGTTTGGTTTCATTTTGGCAATAGTTCACAAGTGTCATTCATATCTGATAGACAAGTGGGTCAAGAACGTACAGCACACATAGTCCCAAAAAGTAATTAAGTATATCCAAAGTATAGGGTGGAGACTAATCTCCAGAGCCTCTTTAGAAATAAATGATGAAAGGATTTTGATGATGAATTAGAAAAAAAAAAATCAATCTCTAATGACAAAGAATCTTGCTTGATAACATAACAACACAATCCCTTCTGGAGATTTGTTTAATCCATCAATAAGCACAATTAGCTCCACACTGAACATAGCTCTCAACTCACCAACTACTTTTGAATTTTCATCAAAAGTGTGATTTGTGTGACAGTGACTGACCAGCGACATAATGTGGGAAGTGACAAGACATGACAATATACAATTTTCAAAGGTTTGCTTGCTTTATTTGCTCAGAGTCATGTATATAAAATATACAACACACTATCTACCACGACAGATAAAATTGAAAAAAAAAAGAAAAGAATTTGTCAATTCCATCATAGTAATTAAACCATTACTCTTTAAATGGTAACATTATTAGTAACTTAATAGTACTAACCTTCAGGGCAAACAATTCTCCTGTCTGTTTCCTATAACACTGCACAACCTTCCCATTAATTCCTAAACCTAAAACTGTATTTGAAATATTGTAATCTTCAGTAATGTTATTTGTCTTGATAAATTTGCTAATATTAGCGTTATTCCTGTACTGTACATCTTCCATTTTCATGAACTAAAAACAAAGTTTTGTATGAAGTCGTTCAAGTAGATAATAGTCCAAATAACTAAATTCCAAAGACGTAAAAGTAATATATAATACTTAGAAAAAATTTAACTTAGATTACTTAAATATTGTTGTGTCGTCATTGTATTAATTTAAGTATGATGATAAGTATGATTCCAGGAGATCCCTGGACTTCTCTCTCAACCGCGTCACTGGGGCTAAATCCAGTGGAGATTGAGCAAGAGTGCTTTAGCCACATACACTCATGTCGTGAGTGGAGAATCTGGCCATTGCCAGAATTCCAATATTTACAAACTATAAAAGGTCGCGGGGCCACTACCGTTTTAACCTTCATGGAGGATTATAGGGATGGGTGGTGCTTGATAGGGATTGTGCAAAGGGATTTGGATGATGGGTAAGGTTCTAGTGAAATTTGGAGAATTTTGCTGGGATAAGGTCTAGGCAAGTGGAATATTAAGGTCATGGTGTAGGGTTTTGTTGGTTACATAGAAAGGAGCATCGACTATTATTCGAAGGACTTTGGATCGGAAGGATTAGATGCGTTTGATGTTAGAAAATTTTGCTGTTCCTCACAGTTCAAGTCCGTAAGTCTAAGTAGTTTCAATATTGTCTTGTAGATAAGTACTTTATTTTCAATAGAGAGTTTAGATTTTTGATTTAGTAGTATGCATAGTCGGCCGTTTCGTCGGTTAAGTTCCTGTCTTTTAAGTCTAGTATGAGGGTTCCACGTTAGTCGTCTGTCTAAGAGAAAGCCAAGGTATTGGACTGAGTATGAGAAAGGAAGCTGGATGGAATTAAAGTGTACTGGTGGACAGGAATTGCGTCGGAGCGTGAAGGTGATGTGTTGTCATTTGGATTTGTTTACTTTAATACGCCATTTATTACACCAATGCTCAATCAGAGAGAGATGTCTTTGAAGGTTTAAGGATGCTATATCAGGATCTAAGTCGGATGATAGAATGGCGGTGTCCCAATACGCTACCTTGAGGAACACCAGCCTCAATTGGATAGCAATTTGAAAATTCAGTGCCGCAGCGAACTCGGAAGGTACCATCTGAGAGGTAGGAACGGAGGACAAGGTATAAGGACTGAGGAAGATGGGTTTTAAGTTTGAAAAGAAGACCGGCCTACCATACCCGGTCAAAAGCTTGAGCTATGTCCAGAAATGCACCCGAAGAAGTATTGCTTGCTTTCCAGGGCTGCGGAAATATCGACCACTCAAAGTCCTTGTTGGAGTGTGAAGTGTTGGGTACGAAATCCGAACTGGTGTGAAGGAAGATTTTAAGATTCTATAAAGGGTAGGATTCTTTTCAGGAGGATCTTTTCAAGGATTTTTTAAAGGATTGAAAGTAGGCTAATGAGTCTGCAGGAAGTTAAGCTGTTGGGAGGTTTGCCTGATTTTGGGAATAGGATAATAGTAGAATGTTTCCATAAAAGAGGAAAGTGTGTGCTTCGTAGAATGCTATTGTATATGTATATAAAGAATATGACAGCTTTACGAGGAAGTTGTCTGAGGATCTGAGAGGTAAGGAGGTCGTATCCAGGTGATTTGTGGGTAGGTAGTTTTTGTAAGTGGTATTTGACCTCAAAAGGATTAACTGCTTTAGACGGTAAGGAGAGTGGGATGGGTGAAATAAGGAATTACTCTACTGCTGACGTGTGGGTGGGATTGGATTCCGGATGAGAGGTGAATGTAAGGGAAAGGTGTTTGGTGAATTCCTCGGCTGTATCTTCGTCAGATGCTGCCCAAAATCCATCACCTCGCCGGAGAGGATGTGATATATGATGGGGTTTTAGGATTTGTTTAGTGATCTTCCATAGGGAATTGTCATGACAGGAGAGGGAAGTAAGGTAGGAGTTGAAGGATTGGGATCTGAAGGTGGCCAATTCTAGCTTTAATTTTTTGCAAAAATAATTATAGGATTGACGATCGGTGGGGTGTCTAGTACGTTTCCATAATAATCTGGCTCGACGTTTGGTATGGATTAGGTCTATGAGGTGTTGAGGTAACTTATTTTTCTTGGGAGGTCTTGAGGAGTGGTTTGGAGAGGAAAGTCCAGATTGCTTGTTGGATAGTGGTAGTAAAAAAGTGTGCGGTATTGTCATGGTCATCTGGGGTTTTCAGGGTTTTTATAAGGTCAATTTTATCGGAAAGGATTTGGTGAAAGAGTTTCCAGTTAACTGGGCCTCTGATGAAGGACAGTGGAGAAGACTTAGGAATAGGAGCTAGAGATAATTGGAGTAATTATGGACTATGATCTGAGGATAGTTCGGCAAGACGGGTAAGGGAGTTATTGAGGGGACCTTAATACCACTGTGGATGAAAAAATCAAGGATATCGGGATTGCGGTTAGGATCTGTGGGCCAGTAGGTAGGTGAGTTAGGATGAAGGATCCTGGAACGTTGGGAATTGAGTGCAGATAACAATGTTCTTCCAGGAGAAATCGTGGTTCTAGAACACCATTGAGTTCTGCGCATGCGTTAACCTTACACATATACTCTTTATTTCGTCTCTCATTAAGTGACTTTATTAACAGTGAAATAATTCATGTTATATGTGAAAACGTAGTGTAAACTGTTAAGTTAACAATTAAGTTGAAACTGGACATAAACAAGGTGAGTAATCACTTATTTATAACGGCATTGTGAACAGTGTAAATAGACCTGAGGATAGTGATAGATAACAAGCCGGCCATATACATTCGTTAATCCGACCAGTGGGCTGCTGCCCTTTGGCAGAAGCACATCTACGTTACTTAGACTTCTACAAACTCGCGTAATATATACGTAATTGATAAAGGACATTTTTTTTTTTTCAAATTATTACAGTTACCTCTAATTAAATTAATATGAGATGCGCTATTTTCATATGGTAATGTCGAGCAAAGGTAACAATCGAACTTTAAGATCTAGGAGTCTCGATACCACAAAGAGTTCACCCATCAAGAAAAGGGCTAGACGCTCTAAAAAAAATACCCCGCCAGCTACACCAGAGAGCTCAGTTGACGAAGTTGAAAATCAACCTGGCACATCATCACAAAATATGTCAACACAAGTTATACCAATACAAGGTACGCTAGAAGAATCGCCTTTTTTTACAGCTAATCCATTCCAAGTGCTGTCAAACACACAGAATGAACAAATGGAAGCAGTACCCATCCCTAGTGAACCTAAACCTCCACCAATATTCGTTAGAAATATAAAAAATTTCCAATTAATGTGTCAACAATTAAATAATATAGTGGGCTCAGGTAAATACGTATGCCAAAGCCGCACTAATGACACGAAATTAATGCCTGACACCCCAGATACGTACAGAAAAATTGTCAAGTATTTATCTGACACTAAGGCGGATTATCACACATATCAACTGCGCCAAGAGAGAGCGCTCAGGGTGGTGATCAGGAGATTACACCCATCAACACCGCTGGATGCCATTAAAGAAGAACTAACTGAGATGGGGTTCCGTGTTCGACAAATAGTGAATATATTCAAGGAAGATAGAGAACAGCCTGGTACAAAAAATAAAATACCGCTCCCACTATTCTTCGTTGACCTTGACCGAACGCCCCAGGTCGAAGAAATCTACAAGGTCACACGCCTTTATTACACTAGCGTTGTTGTAGAAAAGCCCTACACTAAGCGCGACATTGTACAATGCCATAACTGCCAGGCTTATGGTCATACGAAACGCTATTGCCACCACATTCCTAGATGTGTCAGGTGCGGTGATCAACATAAAACTGAGGACTGCCAGAAGTCCAGAAGAACACCAGCAGTATGCGCTTTATGCCACCAAGGGCACCCAGCGAACTACAAGGGTTGCCAAACATATAAGGAACTGAAAGCAAGAATTTATGCAGCTCCAAGAGAAGAACGGCCATCCAGGCCACCAAGACAACCCTCTAGAACTGTAAATACAAGAGTGTCCTATGCTCAGATGTTCAAAGGAGACACTGCACCCACACAAACTCAGGCCCTGCCACAAGAACCTCAACCTCGAGTATTCACATCTCAACCACAAGACCCTTATCCCATCTCTGAACCTAGGCCTAATAACCAGACATTCATTCCTCCTCCTCCCAATGCCACTGACCTCACAAGCCTATTGACTTCTTTCCTCTCTGAATTCAGGTCACTCATCACTCCTCTCATTTCCTTGCTTACCAATGTTGTATCCAACCTCATCCCACTGTCGAGAAATCCTTAAATGTCCCCAATCAAATCCCTCTCCGTTCTCCTTTGGAATGCGAATGGTATTCGAAATCACGTCAACGAACTAACAATCTTATTACAGGACAAAAACATTGATATAGCATTAATAACTGAAACTCGACTTACCAACAAACGACCACTTAACATCCCCAACTATCATATCTATCGAACCGACCATCCTGATGGAACAGCACATGCTGGCACTGCCATAATTATCCATCAATCCCTTTCCCATCATCTATTCCCTTTGCTAACCCATAATTTCCTACAATCCACTGCCGTGATAATCCAAACTTCCCTTTACCCAATAGCAGTAGTCGCAGCATACTCCCCGCCTAAAATACCCATCTCAGAATCCCAATTAACTTCCTTCCTTAACTCCTTAGGACACCACTTCCTTCTAGGTGCAGACTTAAATGCTAAACACCAGCAATGGGGAGCCAGAACCACAAATTCCCGAGGACGAACATTGCTATCTGCACTTAATTCCCATCACAGCAACATCCTCTCACCCAATTCTCCCACATACTGGCCAACAGATCCTAACCGCAATCCCGATCTCCTAGATTTTTTCATCCACAAAGGTCTAGGGTCCCTTCATTATTGCATCTCAAGACTTGATGATCTTTCCTCAGACCATAGTCCCCTAATCCTAACGGTCTCCACATCACCAATTCCCAAACCACCTCCACCTTCATTTATCAGGGGGCCAGTTAATTGGAACCTCTTCCGTCAAATACTGGATGATAATATTGACCTCAGAGTTTCCTTAAAAACACCCGCAGACCTAGATGAAGCAGTAT